GGACACGGCATCATCACTGCACGCAGCGGAGCAGCCATGCAGAGATTCGTGGCAGTGAATGCACGCATGCTTCCCTATCACCCGTCCCTCAAGATCCTCAAGCATGCCGATTCTCAACTCCGCTGTTCATCTGCTGCCCTAAGGTACACAAACCACAGGGCAAACAGCACGCAAGGCACAGCGCTGTCTATCAGACATGCTCCTCGCAAATGCCCATCTTGCACTTTCTATTCCGAGGGCCGCATGAAAGCAGTGCTGCACCCGGACTCAACAAGTGCCAACTCAAACAAGTGCCAACTCATCCGCACTCCTAATCCCTTGCCGATCCAACAGCAAATGCCCAATCACTCATAAGGACTTTCTCGCGAGGTCAGCTGTCAGAGGTGATTGAGCCGCATCACCAGCTGCTCAGCTAGGGATAGTTGTTGGTCTGCATCCTGCCTCATGAAACTGCTAACAACTCAAGTTCCTTCTCAACATGCCTCAGCCACTGAAGAGAGATCTCTCATCACATGGGTCAGCTTCTGACCTATTTCTCATTGTCCTCACTGGCAGCTGCGCGGATCTTGCAGTCTTGCAGTCCTCTTACAGCCTCTCGCAAGCCAACATGCCTTTTCCTCCGAAGTTCCGCTGGCGGTGCTGCATTGTCAAGGTGCTCAGCGGTCCAGACATGTGTCATGCATCGCCATCAGGCCATCAAGACCCTGAGCGAAACGAGGAATTCCAAGGACACGGCATCATCACTGCACGTAGCGGAGCAGCCATGCAGAGATTCGTGGCAGTAAATGCACGCATGCTTCCCTATCACCCGTCCCTCAAAATCCTCAAGCATGCCGATTCTCAACTCCGCTGTTCATCTGCTGCCCTAAGGTACACAAACCACAGGGCAAACAGCACGCAAGGCACAGCGCTGTCTACCAGACATGCTCCTCGCAAATGCCCATCTTGCACTTTCTATTCCGAGGGCCGCATGAAAGCAGTGCTGCACCCGGACTCAACAAGTGCCAACTCAAACAAGTGCCAACACATCCGCACTCCTAATCCCTTGCCGATCCAACAGCAAAGGCCCAATCACTCATAAGGACTTTCTCGCGAGGTCAGCTGTCAGAGGTGATTGAGCCGCATCACCAGCTGCTCAGTTAGGGATAGTTGTTGGTCTGCATCCTGCCTCACTAAAAAACTGCTAACTACTCAAGTTCCTTCTCAACATGCCTCAGCCACTGAAGAGAGATCTCTCATCACATGGGTCAGCTTCTGACCTATTTCTCATTGTCCTCACTGGCAGCTGCGCGGATCTTGCAGTCTTGCAGTCCTCTTGCACCCTGTCGCAAGCCAACATGCCTTTTCCTCCGAAGTTCCGCTGGCGGTGCTGCATTGTCAAGGTGCTCAGCGGTCCAGACATGTGTCATGCATCGCCATCAGGCCATCAAGACCCTGAGCGAAACGAGGAATTCCAAGGACACGGCATCATCACTGCAAGTAGCGGAGCAGCCATGCAGAGATTCGTGGCAGTGAATGCACGCATGCTTCCCTATCACCTGTCCCTCAAGATCCTCAAGCATGCCGATTCTCAACTTCGCTGTTCATCTGCTGCCCTAAGGTACACAAACGAAGCAATCGCTGCATCTTGGCTGTTTGAGGGCTCCAGGGCAAACAGCGCGTAAGGCACAGTGCTGTCTATCAGACATGCTCCTCGCAAATGCCCATCTTGCACTTTCTAATTCCGAGGGCCGCATGAAAGCAGTGCTGCACCCGGACTCAACAAGTGCCAACTCAAACAAGTGCCAACTCATCCGCACTTCTAATCCCTCGCCGAAACAAAAGCAAAGGCCCAATCACTCATAAGGACTTTCTCGCGAGGTCAGCTGTCAGAGGTGATTGAGCCGCATCACCAGCTGCTCAGCTAGGGATAGTTGTTGTTGGTCTGCATCCTGCCTCACTAAAAAACTGCTAACAACCCAGTTCCTTCTCAACATGCCTCAGCCACTGAAGAGAGATCTCTCATCACATGGGTCAGCTTCTGACCTATTTCTCATTGTCCTCACTGGCAGCTGCGCGGATCTTGCAGTCTTGCACCCCTCTTGCACCCTGTCGCAAGCCAACATGCCTTTCCTCCGAAGTTCCGCTGGCGGTGCTGCATTGTCAAGGTGCTCAGCGGTCCAGACATGTGTCATGCATCGCCATCAGGCCATCAAGACCCTGAGCGAAACGAGGAATTCCAAGGACACGGCATCATCACTGCACGTAGCGGGCCAGCCATGCAGAGATTCGTTGCAGTGACTGCACGCATGCTTCCCTATCACCTGTCCCGCAAGATCCTCAAGCATGCCGACTTCGCTGTTCATCTGCTGCCCTAAGGTACACAAACGAAGCAATCGCTGCATCTTGGCTATTTGAGGGCTCCAGGGCAAACAGCGCGTAAGGCACAGCGCTGTCTATCAGACATGCTCCTCGCAAATGCCCATCTTGCACTTTCTAATTCCGAGGGCCGCATGAAAGCAGTGCTGCACCCGGACTCAACAAGTGCCAACTCAAACAAGTGCCAACTCATCCGCACTTCTAATCCCTCGCCGAAACAAAAGCAAAGGCCCAATCACTCATAAGGACTTTCTCGCGAGGTCAGCTGTCAGAGGTGATTGAGCCGCATCACCAGCTGCTCAGCTAGGGATAGTTGTTGTTGGTCTGCATCCTGCCTCACTAAAAAACTGCTAACAACCCAGTTCCTTCTCAACATGCCTCAGCCACTGAAGAGAGATCTCTCATCACATGGGTCAGCTTCTGACCTATTTCTCATTGTCCTCACTGGCAGCTGCGCGGATCTTGCAGACTTGCGCCCCTCTTGCACCCTGTCGCAAGCCCACATGCTTTTCCTCCGAAGTTCCGCCAGTGCTTCGTTGTCAAGGTGCTCAGCGGTCCAGACATGTGTCATGCATCGCCATCAGGCCATCAAGACCCTGAGCGAAACGAGGAATTCCAAGGACACGGCATCATCACTGCACGCAGCGGAGCAGCCATGCAGAGATTCGTGGCAGTGAATGCACGCATGCTTCCCTATCACCCGTCCCTCAAGATCCTCAACAACTCCGCTGTTCATCTGCTGCCCTAAGGTACACAAACGAACCAATCGCTGCATCTTGGCTATTTGAGGGCTCCAGGGCAAACAGCGCGCAACGCACAGCGCCGTCTATCAGACATGCTCCTCGCAAATGCCCATCTTGCACTTTCTAATTCCGAGGGCCGCATGAAAGCAGTGCTGCACCCGGACTCAACAAGTGCCAACTCAAACAAGTGCCAACTCATCCGCACTCCTAATCCCTTGCCGATCCAACAGCAAAGGCCCAATCACTCATAAGGACTTTCTCGCGAGGTCAGCTGTCAGAGGTGATTGAGCCGCATCACCAGCTGCTCAGCTAGGGATAGTTGTTGTTGGTCTGCATCCTGCCTCACTAAAAAACTGCTAACAACTCAGTTCCTTCTCAACATGCCTCAGCCACTAAAGAGAGATCTCTCATCACATGGGTCAGCTTCTGACCTATTTCTCATTGTCCTCACTGGCAGCTGCGCGGATCTTGCAGACTTGCACCCCTCTTGCACCCTGTCGCAAGCCCACATGCCTTTCCTCCGAAGCTCCGCTGGCGGTGCTGCATTGTCAAGGTGCTCAGCGGTCCAGACATGTGTCATGCATCGCCATCAGGCCATCAAGACCCTGAGCGAAACGAGGAATTCCAAGGACACGGCATCATCACTGCAAGTAGCGGAGCAGCCATGCAGAGATTCGTGGCAGTGAATGCACGCATGCTTCCCCATCACCCGTCCCGCAAGATCCTCAAGCATGCCGATTCTCAACTCCGCTGTTCATCTGCTGCCCTAAGGTACACAAACGAAGAAATCGCTGCATCTTGGCTGTTTGAGGGCTCCAGAGCAAACAGCGCGTAAGGCACAGCGCTGTCTATCAAGGCTGCACTTTCTAATTCCGAGGGCCGCATGAAAGCAGTGCTGCACCCGGACTCAACAACTGCCAACTCAAACAAGTGCCAACTCATCCGCATTCATTCCTAATCCCTTGTCGATCCAAAAGCAAAGGCCCAATCACTCGTAAGGACTTTCTCGCGAGGTTTGCTGTCAGAGGTGATTAAACCGCTTCACCAGCTGCTCAGCTAGGGATAGTTGTTGTTGGTTTGCATCCTGCCTCATGAAACAGCCATTCTTGCGAGGCTTGCCGTCACATCAACCGCTGCTCAGCTAGGGATAGTTGTTGTTGGTTTGCATCCTGCCTCATGAAACAGCCATTCTCCCGAGGTTTGCTTCAGAGGTGATTAAGCTGCATCAACAGCTGCTCAGCTAGGGATAGTTGTTGTTGGTTTGCACCATTCCTCATGGAGTTTCTACGGACTGTCCATGGAATCCACCCTCCTCCGTGCAAGGCCACGCAGAGACTGACAAACTATTGTCCACCATGTGAACGCAACAAAACAAACATCAACCGGAAAGACATGTTGTCTACGGCTTATGCAGAAATACGCGTGCATCTACGACATTCGTATCGAGGTAGCCGTCATGTAGAGAAATCCAAGCTTCTGCACGACCTGCACATTTGCCTCCCCGCATGAGATTCTGAACGGTTCCTTCCGCTCCCGTGGCCAACAACTTCAGCTACGCAGCTCGCATCCTCATCTCAACTTGCCCATGTGAAACAGCAGTTGCACTCACACTAATTCCGATGGTGCCTGGCAGACTTACATCCCTCATTCAAGTTGCTCGGTTTGACGTGATGCCACCTACCTGCAACATTCACTTTGCTTCCTGACTCAGCATTGTGCATTCAGGCCTCATCTCCTCGTGGATCCCAATCCTCTCAAAGTAGAAAATTCAACCGCAAGCCCCCCCCCCATCCCCCCCCCCCATCCCCCCCCACCCATCCCCCCCCACCCATCCCCCCCCATCCCCCCCCACCCATCCCCGCCCATCCCCTCCCCCCCCCCGCATCCCACTCCCCACGCCTCCGACCGGAGGTGCGCGGCCGAGAGGAAGCCCGGGGCCGCATGCGACAGCTCCGGCAAGTGGCCCTCCATGTCCTCAGGCGGGGTATGGGCCAGAACGCACATGAGTCATAATCAAAACCCGGTATTAGAATGGTCGACCCAGAACCATGCAAAGAACTAAGAAGGCGGCGGCAGCTATTCATGGTTGGGATTGTCCCTTACTAGCCTTCACTTACCCGGGTTTTGATTGTGACTCACATGGGTTCCTGAAAGATACATGGCCTGTGCTTCTTGGAGTTGACACCCGTTTCAACTTGGTTTAAGGGAAACTAAAAAGAACAAACAAAGACATTTCTTTTGAACGGGGTCCCCTATTTCGACACGACGTATCCAATCATTCCCCTGCCAAATCACCTGATTCACAAGGAGACTCCCAACCAGCTCATTTGATTTGCGACCAACACGTATCCTTGCATGTTTCGGTTGGGCGAAAATATCAAATGGCCCAACAGACTGGATGCGCCCAAACACACCGCATTCCAACCCTGCCAAGGCAAGGCTGAGGGAAGCAGCCCTGGACACAAAGAAGGACATGGTTGTGGAAGGTCACCCTTTCTGTGATGCCACAGTGCAGCTTCCCATCCCCATGCAACTTTGTCACTTGGCCAACTTGGGGGTTCCCCTGGAATCACTCCCACACGCCAGGTCTGGTGGCAACCATGCCAGCGATTGCGAACATGCCTGCCACGTCTTGATGTCTCTGTGATACGACCATGACGTCTATCGCGTGCAACACAAAGTCGCCCGAAAACCCAACTCGCTTGCTGGTGCTCAGCAGGGAATGACCCCTATAAACCTCCCTGGTGGTTTCCTTTCAGGGGACTGGGTTCATTCCCGCATTCCCTACTGAGCACCAGCAAGCTTGTCCACAAGCCATGCAGGGGTGCTTGCGCCAGGGCGCCCATCCCAAGTCCATCTGCGCCGTGCGGATCTCGCTGACGTGCATCTTGCGCTCCACCCAGGAGACAGGCCTAGCAAGGATGCGCAAATCATGGGGCTTTGAACCCATCCAAGAATCAATATCCTACTGGTCAATGGTGATAGCAATTGAGCAATTCTGACCATCCATGTTGAGCTTGAAGGATGTAGATAAGCTTGCCATACAGGCAGGCATTGCGCAGATGAGCGGGCCACCGCTTGCTAATTGGAGGGGATCAACACCTAGCAACAACTCCCCCCATGAGTTGCTCAATACTCCCCCTCAGACGACTCACTAACATTATGGCAAAGATTGCGGTGGCGTGGTTTCTCCTGTCTTTTTTTCCATCAGCTCGTCTGTCAGTGGAAAAGCAAATCGCATTCACATGTTGAATACAACAAGGACTTGAGAAAAGTTGGCGCCCTTTCCCTATTTTGTTTTAACCTACTTTTCCGTCGAGGTGTTGAATTCTAAGATGCACTGGGTCAAACAGGCACATCTGGCATTCGTGCCAAGGTGGGCCAACAGGTATCTATCCTCCCGGATCAAAAGAAAAGGTGCCCTCAAAGAGTCGAGGCAGATTGACTTGATCCCAGGCTTAGCATCTGTATAAGACGGATGATGATTATAATACCTGTCATTAGTATGATGCCAGCAAGACTAAACACTGGCTACTTCCCTGTGTCTCCATAGTGGAACAGCCTTTTCCCCAGTGATCATATACTAAGTCGGAGCCATAGCACGGGGAGCCGTTGCAGCAATTACTGGGGAACATGTGGCTCCGCTACGGGGGGGCAAAGTTAATATGTCGATATGCTTCCTGCTATTGTGATTATTGGTATCAGTAGCAGTAGAAGTAGAAGTAGCAGTAGCAGTAGCAATCATTGTTAATATGGGTGTGGCTCAAAACTAAACAGGAGGGGTTACGCAGGTTTTGGCCCATATTTCCAGTTCCATTTTGGTACCGGTTTTCTGAGCCACAGCCATATTGTTCTTTTTAAGACCGACATTTCGAGCCGCCGACTCTTCTCTGCGGCGCCTAGACCGCGGGGGCCGGATGCAGGTGGCCGGTCGCAGCTTCTTCAGGCTGCGACCCCGCTCGGAGGTGTCTGGGATGCCTTGGCACTCGAAAAATCAAGCCAATCTGGCTGCTCACAAATTTCAATTGACGTCTTCATAGCCTTGCCTGCTACATATGTGTGTTGACACATGCCGGTGTGTAAACAGACACAAATGCGTGTGTGTGTGTGTGTGTGTGTATACACATACGTATCCATGTATGCATGAAACTTTTTCGCACATGTAAATCACATCCATACAGAAATATGCAGATTCATCCATACAGAAATAATCATTCTATATATACTACTGTCAAGTACGGCGAAGTATACATGTTGTTTACAGCGTGTCCAGATAGAAGTGACGCGCATAACTGGCCTTGGAGGGGGTATGGCTGTGACTCGGGGAGGCATCCGGCTGCGAAGGCTTTGGATCAGTTGCGTGCGGATGGCTTGCTTGCACGGAATTGACCCCAACTGGGGAGGGGCTACAAGGGACCAGATGGCTGTGGGTCAAAAATAGTAACCAAAATGGAACCCTGGTAACTGGAAACATGGACTAAAACCTGCGGTCCCCTGGTGGTACCCAGATGATCACAGGGGAGATGTGAGCCAGGGGACGAAAGTGTCCCGCAGTGGGGAAACAATGGAGCCACCATGGCTTTGTCAAGCCAACAGCGAACCCCAGCTGTCGCATACTTCTAACGTGCAACTGCTAAGAAAGGATGTCCAACCGTGGAATAAAAAAAAACATTGTCGAGCCAGAGAAATCACACGCACATGTGCAATCCATGGCAATCTGTGCATGTGCTTTCTGCGCGTCACCTCCAGTAGCTTGCCGTTATCCTCCCTTGAAATATCCATCAGGTCCAAACAAGAGTGATGATGCGTTTCCAGAAAGAAAGAAAACATGTGTAAACTGTTCGCCTGATCTCTGCGAAAGAAATGTTGACATTGCAACCCAAAGAAGCTTGTCAAAGCTATAAGCAGAACTTGGCGAAGCAACAGGGCATCATCAATCAGGCTTGCATGGTCGTACTTAACCTCCCTCCCACAAACATGGCACCTGACACAGGGTCCCTTCAAGGGAAAAATGATCTTCCAGGTACCCCCACAAGTGCCGTGTGAGTGGAAGCGAGGGTGTTACTCATATAACACAGTCGCAAGTGACTCGCTCGGAGACAACCTAATTATCCCCATGAGATGTTCCTCTTCCGATGCTGCATTCTCGCTGCCCAACACCTCCAAATCTGTGGGCATGGGGAAGCATGCCCTTGGGTCAACTCAACCCGGGACTGGGCGTGCTTCTTTGTCATTCTCTCCACGGCCCCTTCCGGACTCCTGAAACGACAAGAACCACTAGATCTACGGACCCTCTTGACGGTTTAAAATTTCGATTACAACCAAACCTGCACTTGGAAGAACCCCTTGTTTTTTTTGCACATGCACCCTCTCAGTACGGGAAGTATAGCCTCATTTGCCTAAAAACATTCTTTTTGAAGTGGCGCTCATGGGCCAAGGGCGCCTTATTTGCACCCCCAAGCCTTATGCCACTTCAACCCAACCCCCCCCGCGCAGCGCAGGGCGCCGAGGCGCCCTTGGCCTCGGCGATGAACATGGCCCTCCGCGCCTTGACGGCCGAGGGCAGGAAATCGGAGAGGAGGTGGGAGGTGGGGGTCGCACTCGAGGCCGAGCGCCCGCTCTCCATGCTGGAGGTGACGTTCCTGGCGAGAAAAATCTGGCCTGGAGCTTTTTGGAAGGCACCAAAGAACGAAGGCACCCAAGTGGGGGCTCCTGAAAAGAAGGTTTCCAGTAGGAAGCTGATGGTGTCTGCACAATCTGCGAGGTTCAAGTCCCGGTTTATGTATCTGCATGAGATTATGTAAGAACAAATTGTTCCAACTTCAAGTCCAGTCTGACCTTTGTACAGCCTCTCTACCTGGTCCTTCAAACTGTCCCTTCGGCGGTGCCCAAGTCGGTCGCCCTGGTCCCCCCCCCCCACTCCCCCACGTCCCACGCCCCTTCCTCCGCACGTCCAGGGAGCCCAAAGACTTCATGGAGGCCCGGGTGTGGCGGAACCGGCTCTTGAGGTCCTCTCGCGTGACGAGATGTCGGGAACTGGAGACCTCTGTCGGGGGCGCTGTGACGTTTCTGACATTTGGGAGTCTGACTCTCTGGCTGCATATCAGACTTTGTTCCTTTCGCGGGGCTGTCAAGTCAAAAATATGGCCGGTTCCTTGTTGGATCCTGGTGCCGCCCAAGTCGTCTTTTGGAAGGAATACCGAAAAGGGTCACTGATTCGGTGGCCCCTGCCAAGTGGCTCTTGACTCACGTCCCGCCTCCCCAAGACCTTTCGCAGCCAAAGGTCTGCTCTCAGGACAGCAGCCCAAAGATTGCTTGAAGAACCTGCTTCTGGGCTACATACAACACTGCAATTCACAAACAGGAAATACTCAACCCCCAAAGTAAAGGGCCTTCATCATGGGTAAGCTCGTTCGAGAATACTTGGGCGCGTCTCAAAACGGAGGGACCCTCTCGGTCGTGCCCTTGTTCTTTTTTCATTCTGGTTGCATGCCAAACTAAGACCAAGGAGACCTCGTTTTGAAGGCGAGCCTCTCACTTCTTTCCTCTAGGCCCAGAAGAAACTCCCACTGCTTCCGCAGTGTCCTCGTACATGTTCTCAAGGCTCTCCTGGCAAAAGGGTGTCAAAAAGTGGCACCCCACACCCCAAAAACTGGTCTGTGCCCTTCCCCGAGCGGATTTGGTGTAAAGCATGGATGAGGTTTGGGCAACTTGCTCGAAGTTGTAGCCCACCCGAAAAAGGCACAAGATGTCCCAGCAGGAGTAAGAGACCCACTGGCAAAACTCAATAGACTGTCGTGCCGACAGCCTAGTGTGTGGTTACGTGCAAGATTAGATGCCCGTCTTCATGTATATGTTTCCGTTGGACAAAAAAGAAAACGGGGTCCTCCTTTTGAGGCAAACTTATGTTTCGCAAAAAAGAAGAAGAAGAAGAAGAAGAAGAATACAAACAAACACCTGCTGTTGATTAAGCGGCATCCCCTAGTCGATACTCATTCCGACAAGTGGCGATCTCCTAGCCCCAAATCTGTAAGGAAAAGGCGACCAGGTGCATCTGCCTCTGCCAACCCCCGAATTTGATCATTGTTCTTGAGCTGGACATGAATGAGCTTGACAGCCAAGGCTCATCTGCGTGAAACATCAATCACCCATTTGCTGCAGTCGTCGCACCCATCCTAGCTAGAAAGGTCTGCAGTGTCAACAGGATGCAGAATCTGAATACGGGAAAGGTATCCTGTCCAGCGTCTGGCATGCTCATACTTAACATACATTTGTGTGTATATATATACATATATATATATATATCTATACAAACACCTACACATACAAGTCCTTAAACACATACACATAGACACGCTCAACGCACACACATAGCCCGCCTACACATGCAAACACGTACACATACAATTGTGCATCCATGCCCTGTACAACACAGGTACACACGTATGCATTCACTTGCAGTATTCAGGCCAATCAGTCAACAACTGTTCTTCACTCTTACAGCGTCCTGTTTGGTCTGCCACCTGGCACGTACACGTACGCCTGCGGATGGACCAAAACCACCAGGGATGGATGAAAAATCCAAAAAACAAACTGGGAGGTTCAAAAATTGGCCCACCCACATGGCCGGCTTCCCGGATCTTCTTCAAGGCGAAAAGGGCTCGTCCCGCGGCCTGATCCGCTCGGGAGCTGCGGATGGAGCCCACGGAGCTCCTGTTGCTGCGCACGGAGAGCCGCTTCTCCACGAAGTGCACGCTGGTCATCTTCGGGGACTCCTTCCATAGCGGATTTTCTGCGGGAATGTGTCAGAGATACTGTGGATGGACGAAATCCATTTCGCACCACCTAGGAAACCCTAGAATGGTTTCTCATGGTGTCTTGGGTGAGGATTCTGTCCATCCACAGTATCACAGGCGCGGGCAAGACTTCGTGGAGAGCGGCTGCATCTCTGTGCCCTGGAAAAAAAAGGATTTAAAAAAAAAAGGAATGATCCGGACAGATTGCAAGCGATTGCCAATCGCTGCTTGTTCAATATGTCATTCCCCAGTCTGCGCTTTCACAATCCTATTGCAGTGGCACAAGGTTGCCTGCCTCCATTTACAGGCAACAACCTTGATATCGTTTGGCAGAAAAAAGGGGGACATCGAAAGTAACTGCCAAAAGCACATTCACTGGCTGAGGTACAATATGTTCCTTCAATTGTTTGGACAAGCTCGAAACGGTCAGGGAATCTCTCTCCTCCAATTGCCAGACAAAGCATCTCAAGTAAAGAAGCAAACAGGTTTCGACTAAAAAAAGGCCGCGCAAGAGTAGCGCTCGAAGCCCTGATAAAACCATCCAAAATGCATGGACAAGCCTTTGTGCGTACCACCCACGTGCGAACCAGGTGCCTCCTCAGTGTCTGCAGCCAATGTTCGTTGCAAGTCCAACTATCACGATACTCCGCATGTGGCTTGAGAAAAAGGCAAATATCCACCCTTCCAGATACACATCAGAAAAATGCTCGTTAGGCTGTCAGACAAGGACAACGTTCACTCCTCCCAAACAAACAGAAGATAGAAAGACAACCATACATCCACAGCAGAATCAAGCCGTGCTAATCACCAGCATGGTACTAGGGATGCTTTGGAGCCAGGGAAACCTGGCTGGTTCACTTGCAATCTTTGGGTACGACTGTTGGGCTCCAAGAAGGTTGGTGCACATGAATCCTCATGGGAGCCATGCTGCCACCAAACATTCCCACAAAACTCCTTCCGCACTCGCCCATTCCCAAACCTCCAGATGGGTTTTGAAAAGAGGGCCGCCTTTTTCGTGGATGATTTGAACGGGAAGGCTCCTTTCCCAAAAGAATACAAGCAGTGGCCTGCTTGCATTCAGGGAATCGGCTGAATCCGCGACTCAACCACAAAAAAGGCCGCTCCGGGCTGCTGACGCTCCGCATCTCGCTCACTGCGCTCTGGACCCCCTGGCAAGCGAAGGGCGAAGCCGACCCATCCGGATCGGCTTCGGAACCGATGGCGGCTCAGGCCATTGAGCCATCCGTGATGGCTATACTGTTGGGTGAACAGTGGGTTCCGAAGCACCGTCAAGTTGAGTTAACCCCCGAATGTCAGCCTGATGTCAGTGGTCTCATGGGACCAAGAAGCCAAAAAACGGGGAAAATCAAGCCATTGAACGCTTGTGCGGATCACCTGCAGTGAGACGCCCGTGGCATACACAAATTCAGCAAAATAAGGATTTGCCCACCAACCTTGCGGCTGGTTGGATAACTAACAACCTTTCTCACCATGTTCAGCTCCAAACATGTTGGCACATTGGCATGTAAAGCAAGTCAAACAACGGTCATCAAGTCGTGCAAGTCATAGCAACAGGCAAGATGGCAAACATGGCTGGGTGCTCCGAACAGCAACTATTGATCCCGCTGAGGTGTTCAAAGGGGTTTGGGCGCTGCTCACGTGAGCCAAACCATGCTGCAGGTTTGCCAAAGCACTTAGAGTCTGTCTACAGTCTCTCTTTGACCAACGTCACCAAGACAACCCCTCCCAAAGCCCCCCAACACAGGGCAACCGCTCAGAAAAACCTTTGGCATGGACCCGCCTGCACTGGCGCCTCTAGATCGTCCAGGTCCAGCTCGGGCGGCCGCGGCCTGAGATCCTCGGAAGCAGAAAGGAACTCCCGAAGGCCGTGGGTGACAGATGGATGCGCCCTTCGGATGCTACACGCGACTGTCCCTTGCAAGTGGAAACCCGTTTAGGGTTCCCTGAAGGTGGCCCTTTTTAGAAGCAAGCCGAAGAGGCCGGACAGGAATGCACCGCTGGACCCAAGTGTTGTTGTGGAATCCTGGAAACATCGCCGGGCCCTGGTACGGTACATTGGCCCCAAACCGAAGGTGCCACTTTACCAAACTGGCCGAAGCAACCTTGCAGCTTTGACGCCTGACCCAACCCCAGGGTTGAGGCGGACAAACTCGGTGCTTCTGACCCATGTTTCAAGTCATAGGAAAACCAGCCATTGTGCACAAAGGGTTTGGATGTGGAACTCCGAGGGCCGAGGGACCCTAAGCTGGCCAAAGCCTTGCGGCAAACGCTGTCAAGTTGTGCCAAAATGGTCACCTGTCTACGTCACCATTGCTTCAACATCGTTCTTCTCTTCTCTGTGAGGACCTTGCCGAGGACTTGTGGAAAGAACCCCTGCTATGTTGAGCACGCCCGAAGATTCCTGGGCTGTGTTCACCAATGATGCGTATGCCAAACAGGTGTGCAGGTGTGCCTGGCCACAAGGTGACAAAGCTTCCACCAGGCTTGCGAAAAACAGGGTGACAGATATCACAGCAGACTGCTTCTAGACATGGCAGTGGACAATTAGGGGGTGAAATGGTAGCTCAAATTACGTTTGCACTGACTTATACCATGGTTCTGCAGGCTTACAAGCACACATGTAGCCTTCTCAGTTTGTTGGTTTTTCTTGCGTCGCCTCAGCTTCGCAATTCGGCCGAGCTGGGTCTTCTTTCCCCAAGAGACATGGCAACGCCGACAGAACTCTGCACGAGCCCCGCCTCAACCACTTCGCCAGGGGAAGCCCATCTCTCACTCTCCTGACCGGGCGCAGCCCCAGTGACCCCCTCAGCGCGAATATCGAACCCATCGAAAGAAAAACATGGAGCCATCCTTTTCGTTGGTCGATTGAGAAATCTGAAATCCCCATGTACCCTCAAGTTTTGGGACCAATCACGGGGCATTCATTGATATTCAGTTCTCATTCGTCCAAGGCCGATACTATCCCAGTTGAACTTGCGCAAAGGGCAGTCCACACCCGACTCCTGCGATCAATAGAACCACACAATGGCTGCACTTGTGAGTGCTTGAAGTATTCGGCCATCCGTGGAACTCAAGTATATACTCTGCCAACTAGCAACAGGCACAGAGAAAACACTGACCACAAAGACACATCTAAACACATTTTGAGAAACCCCCAAACCTGCACCACAAAAATCACCAAGCGCCTCGTCACCCTCTACATCTGGATAGGAGAGCTGCTCCACCATCTCCGCCGTGGGACTCATCTGGCTCTCCGCCTGCGCGCGACGCCGGAGGCGGCGCATGCTGAGAGGCTCGGGCGGAAGGGCTCGAAAGGCAGCCTCTAACCCAAGCGCAGCTCAATCCGACATGCGAACTGCAAACGCAAAGATGCAAGCTCCACCATGCCAGTGCGAGACTAATGCAAATAGCAGCCGGGTCAGACCTGAGTTCCTAGTGCCTTTCATGTGCGCATCAACTTCGCTCAAAGAAGGACTCGATGCATTTTCAAACGCGGAGACAAACTAGTCGGAGGGGTTGATTTGGTCACTTCTCACAGTGGGCCCTGGTCTGAACAGCTGGTACCGGTTTTAATCTACCCCTGAAAAGGAACTGCCTATGTATCTGGGCCACCTTTGCCGACTGTTTGAGAGTTGTTGGGATGGCCTTCTGATGGACGTGAATTGATTGGAGCAGGTGTGAGGCTCCCGTGCGCAAATCCCCAGGCGCACAAAGGGGCGGGTATCATGGAAAGGAAAGCAAGCAAATGGAAGCCGGCTGTTTGGCCGCGCGTTTGTCTGGCGGCTTGACAGAGCGCCTTTTTGATACCAACAGAAAGCCCTGATTCACTGATTGCTTGACTCGCGACAAGTGCAGAAACAGCGTTGACCCTCGCAGGACGTCAGGCGCATTTTGCTGAGGGAGCCTGGTCCGTGCATTGTTCTTTCTTGATTTGGCCATGGGTCAAAATCCGAATCGTACCTCCAGTGAACATCCCAATCCAACCACTAAAATAGGAAACCTAAAATGGGTGGTGAATTCACCTACCCCAAGATGGGATCCCATTGGTTTTGACCACCACAGCCATTTCTTCGGGTGCAGCTCAACGGCTCCAAGCTGCCAGGGACCCCGGCACGGAACTCGCCTGGCTCTCGCTGCCCGGCATGCCCAGCGGCCACTCCAGCTGCCAGTTCTCATCCTCTCCAGTGGCGTCCTCGAAGTAGGAGCTGCTGCCGAAGGGCATGTGGTCCCGGACATCCACCGGCTCCTGAAGGCGAACGAAGCGGAGTGGATCGCCCAGGAGTCGCACGTGCCTTCCACGACTCCTGAAGGCTCGAGGCTTCAAACAAGAAAAGCGGTTGCAAAGCAAGTGACATGCTGAACCTGGCAGAAGACCCATACTGGCGTGCTGAAGCCGCTAAACTCCGGAACTGACTATTTGAGCATCAGCTCCCAGAGTGGCGCTCACCAAAGCAACTCTGCGAGCAACCCCTCTGAGTCGCCACTCCCTGACAGGGGAGCGAAAGTTGGGTTCCCTCATATCATTCCGGAGCACTAGCTGGCTTTAATCCACAAACAAAAATGCAACTGTCAGCTGATGTCCATCACTCCGACACCCTTCCCTGCCTCGGCCTCCTCTGCACCTTCCGCATCCTCAGCATCCGCGTCCGCGCTCACGTCCTCCTCTGCATCGACGACCTGGACCTTGGCCTTCACAGGTCCCTCAGCTCGCGTCGTTGCATGCTGATGGCACATGAGACGTGGGAGCCACCATCCATGTGGCCGCAAAACAGGCAAGCTTACAGACCATGCCCGTTCAAGGCTCAATGCAATGACTGGAGGCCTGAGCTTGAGGGAGAGAGCATGTCAGAATCCAACTTGCCGCCCTATCCTGCACTGCCCTCATAGGCTTGTGCTTGTTCATTCTACCCTACCCTACCCCACCCCACCACCATGTGACCTCAGTCTTCATTGGCCGTTCTGCACTTGCAGGGCAGTCCCAAAATGCCGAGCAGGTCACGAATTCTGCTTGTGCTTCGACAGAAGCACTCTGAGTCTCTCTCTCTGTTCATATGATTACTTTCTCCCTTGAAATGGCTTTCCCTTGGTACCACAGGGAGTGGCTCCAAGACCCAATTTCCCACAACCGCGTTCCAAAGTGCCTCCGGCAAATCCTCGCCGAGCAAGGGTGCAGAGGCATCCGACATGGCGGAGCGGCGGAGCTGTTCAAAGCGCCAGTGGCTTGCCGTGCGTCGCTGGGCTGGGGGATGCAACTCTCCCTGGGCTTTCTGTGGGCAACCGCCATCAATGCCGATGTGGGCGCAGGGGACAAAACCTCTGGCTCTTCCCCGGCTTCTTGGTCCACGCAAGCTAAGCTGCCAAAACCGTGGAGTAGGGGTGAAAAGGAATTCCGGACCCCAAACAATCACCTCAATGTTCTCTGACTTTGGTTTTCTTGCTCATAGCGTGGCTGTTGTGAATCGGAGCCAATGGGAGGATTTCAGCAGCATGTAGGGCCAAGCTGCAAGGCGAAAAACTCCTTTCATGGTGAATCGGTCTGGTGTTGGCCACAATAAAAGCACGCACTAAAACCGACCATCCACAGGATGTACACATAATATGTGTATATATATACACATGAAATAGAGTTATTTGTTTGTGCGTTCATTTTCCAGTTGGCTGAGGTGCCTAGTTTGCAACTGTTGAAAGGAATCTAAAATAATAATAGACACGTTGACGGAGCTCTCATTGTGAAACGAACCCGCAGTCCGAATAGCAACTCCCTTTGATTTGAGGGAATCAGGCAGCGGTCCCCATTTAAGAAACAGTACCTTGTGCATGTCATCTTTCAGACACTGATGCATGTCGGGCAATTGGTCGATTGGATGCTGACCTCCGTGAAAATACTGTGGCTTGATGATGGCCTCCTAGAAACACGCACATGCTCTGGTTTCCTACTGCATGTTCACAAACGAAAAATGCGGAACACGCACCAACCACAAGTACACCTACACCAAAAAAAAGAACAAGAAAAGAGCAGCAACTTTGCATCCCGCACAAAACCAAAAGAAAAAAGCACTGTACGCCATGGGCATTGTTCCTTGTGTCCGCAACAGACATGGGATCTAATAAGCAACTCCCATGTCCTTTGGTCATCAGGTGGCTGTGGGTCAAAAATGGACACCCAAAATGGCTTGCCCTGGTAAATGGAACCAAGGACTAACACCTGTGGTCCAATTCCTGGTGGTTTAATTTTGACTCATCAGGTGACTCCCAAGCCACCTTCACCGGCTTTGCCAGCAGCCGCAGCACCGAGAGGAGCGGCGAGCTAGCGCCTGGCGAAACGCGAAACGCTACTCACGCGGCTATCATTTGGCCATGGGCTTTTCAAAATCCGAAGCCCGTACCGCCAGTGAACGGGACCCAATCCAACCACTAAAATAGGAAACCTAAAATGGGTGGTGCACCTACCCCGACATGGTACCATTGGTTTTGACAACCACAGCCACTTATCCAGAATGAAAAAAACTCGGGGCATTACCATCAGCTTGTGATTTGCCCATGTTCCATGCCGGCGTCGCCGGAGCTCCTCGAGCCGAGCCGCCTGAGGCGACGTGAGGCGGCTCCTTCATACCGCCCCTCCCTTTTGCCAGGGCCCAACATGTATGGCTCTTTGCGGGTGTGTGAATGCGGGTTGATGTGTGTTGGTGTGTATGTGTGCGTGTGTGTGTTGCCGAATCCCTTCCTCCCAGAGTATCCACCAGTCATCTTTTGATTGTTGCGGGAGACACTAGTGTGTATCACAACTGTGACTCCATGCCACATTCCGTTCCAGGGGATCCGTGCCATTTCTACAGAAAACTGGCAACCATTTCGCAACCCAAGGGTAGATGGCCCCTAAGTTTATGTAGTTTGCTTGAAAGGCGATCTCGGGCCCTTCAAGTTGCTTTGATGTCCCTTGTCTACCCTTGTCTATTGTAATTAGGGCCACCAACTTAAAGAACCACATGACTCCATGCCATGATACCTCTCAGGGATGATTCGTGAACTTTGAAATTTGAACTTTGAAAACACCTAGAGTCCGGCACGACGGCAGCTGATGTCTGAGAGACTCCGAAAGGATTTCCCACAGAGTTCGCCTGATCTGACTTTCGCATCAAAGAACAGCAAGGCAGTGCACACAGTCTGTGGCTAAAACATGATGGATCCCCCCCAGAGCGGTCCATTCAGGAATCAACACAAACTGCTGCCACTGGCACCATGGCAGTGGATGTGCCCCTGTGACCAACCTCTAGTCACGCGTCTTTTTCTCCTGACAACAAAGGCACCTGGGTGTGTGAGATTTGTTTAACCTTGGCTTAACGGAAACCCAAAAGGAAACCAAAAGCTTGGGCTCCCTCTCTGTTGACACAGACAGAGCTACTGAGTCACCCGGCATGCCGTCCACCTCTCGTTGGGCCGGCCTCAAGAAAGCTGGCTGACGGCAGTTGGACACGAAAACTGTTGAGCTGCTGTTTGGCCACCAGAGTTGTAGAGACCAGCTCGCATGGTGGACAAATCCACCTCAATGGCTCATTGGCCTGAGAGGCCGTTTTCGCGATGTAACCAGTTACGCTCGCTGACTTGAATACTGATATCCGGAATCCATCATCATTCAAGTGTCAAGCAGACCGGCTCCACGTTGGACCACGCTTTGCTAAACAAAGAAGCGACAGGGTGCATAGGATGCAGTGAAATTGGTTTGGTTTACACCTAAAAGTCGCCTTCCCACCGACCTTCGAGCCCAACGAAAACCAACCACGTCAGAGGCTTCATCTCGGCCGGACATTCAACCCACCTCCCAAAGAAACAGCGGACCACGCCGCCTTCCTTTGGCCAAAAAAACTGTTTACAGTTCCTGCTTCATGTCCCCCCCCAAAAAAAAAAAATCACGAAGTCCCAACTTGGGAAGTGAGCTTTGAGCTGCCCTGCGTGAAGCGAGCCGGCCTTTTCTCCGGAAGCTTTGCGATGGATCGCTCTCGGACAGACGCGGGCTCAGGCGTTCTTGGCCTCCTCGTAGCCCTCCCAATGCCCGGTCTTGGGATCCTCACGGGTCGCGTCGCTCGATCGCTCGCGCGGAGGGAGCCGCTGGCGTCGGGATGAAAAACCACTGGCTGTGGGTCACAATCGGTGCCCGTTTTGGGAACCCTGGTAAATGGAGCCAAAGCCTAAAACCTGCGCTTTCCTGGTGGTTTAATTTTGACCCATGCCCACCTGGCTTGATCCTATGACCCACAATTAAAGTTCAAGCTCTGAACATTGGACATGCCAAGTGGTACGACAGCCCCTGGAGCCGGGACAATCTTCATACACTCGACTCTGTGTCTTGAACATACGCACACCAAGCCGCTTTATGCCCCCTTCTTCAAAGAGTAGCTTGGAACACTGACATCCTGCCATGAACACACAACTCAACCAGTCCAACCGACCACCACGTTGTTGATGCATCTTCAACATCCACAATTGCATGAATCCTAATGTTCTAAATACTTGCAACAGCTTGGGATCCATTTGAGCAGATTTGAGCACTTTGGGCAGCGTGTTGCACCGTAGAGGCAGCACTCTTGGCCCAACAAAACAAAGCAACATAAATCAGAATCTGGTGGTCTGCAAAGGCAGGATTGGGGGGTTCTCTTAACTTCACAGCTTGAAACGTCCGTATTTGAAGACTGCGAGTCAGGCTATGCCCTGAAAGCCCGAACCCCCAACCAAGTCGTATACACGGACGGCCCGACGGACACAATACCCGTTGCTTGAACTACGGGATGCCCAGGTCCATTTGGCTGCGGTACATGAGTCAGACCAAGGCCGCGGCATAGTCGCATTCCACTAGTCGTCCATCCTGACAGGTGGAGCCTACTGCGAATCCTCGATGGTGCGTTTGAGCGTGCCATTAGGATAAGTACTGACTCAAGCCGCTGGCAATTGTGGTGTTCAAATGACAAATGGAATGTTTCAGTTGCTAATGACAGGAGCATAACATGTAAAGTCAATGATGTAACAAGCAACAGCAGCTGGGGGGCTTGTCAAATTCAAGGGGTCAACCCACAAAATGGTTGCTTTTCCTTTGTGTCCCTTCCAAAAACTGGCCAAACGACGGCTCCCGAGTTTGGGCAACGTTCATCCCGATTGATCCCAGTTGCCAGTGTAACTAGGTAACCAGTCATGTTCTCTTGAGCTTCTAAAGGGTGGCTATACAGGAAACTTGGGATCACATGTCCTCGTACTTGAGCAAGTCGAACTTGCCCGAGCGCAGGTAATGCGCCGTGGTGAAAGAGCCGTCCGCCGACCTGGCAGTCGGCTTGGGGATGTGCGAGCCTGGGACAAGTCCTGAAGCAGAGAAGTCCAAGAAAGACTCCTTCTGTTCAGTTGTTGAGTGCCCCTGCTGTATTTCCACCCTATTCTGAAGGTGTAGTGTTAGCTGCGAAGAATGCTGTCCATTCTCTGCGGGAACTCATCCTTTGAAAAGATCCAGGTCACGCATGAATGGCCGTTGTACCTCATCTAACTGGAAAGCCTGAAGCTTGATTGTGCATCCTGTAGATTTGACCAAATCCGGAAGAATGCAAAGCTCACCATCCCAAGCATAGATGGCACCCATCTCAATTCCCATTTTTGGCTCCCAGCCTATGAGGCCTTACAAGATCGAGTTCTTGAGATCGAGATCAAAGTCTTAGGGCCAAAAGGCAGCGGCATCGTTTAAGACCGAAGCCTCGATGCAGAACTTTGGGGCAATCACCTTTGGGGCTGTCATCCTCGCTTTCGCGAAACAGGCGCGGAACAGCACTTGAAACAAGCCGCGAAAAGAATCAACGTTCAGCAACAAGCTACAACCGCACATCGTCTTTCATCTTTGAGATCTTCAGACCCAGCAAACAGTTAGGCCCCATAGCTAGCGTTTTTGTTGTGACCCCCCCACTCCCCGCGCAGATTTCAAGACATGGCGACTCTGCAGGGTGTACGCCCGCGCTTCTGACGGCCGTCCGCCATCCATAGAGCCATCCTCAATTCGGTCGCGTGCAGTGACCTGGTTCCATCCCCAGTTGCATCCCAGTTCTTCTTGTGTGTTTTGAGGGTTCTTGCAAGGACCTAGGATTCTTATCTGAGATTCCACATCATGTCCCGCTCTTAGCTGCAAAACCACTGTAGCCCCGTCAATGTCCTGCTAGCTTTGATCACAAGTGAATTCGCTCCATGAATGGTCACAAAAGATCGCCTGAAGAGGGGTGCTCCGAACATCGCGGCTCTGCAGCCTCCGACTTGCGAATTCCTTCAACCAAAGTTGTTGTAGAATGTCCAAAGTCGTTTGCCCTTGGCTTCCCCTGAAACAATCAAAAATCGGGGAATCCTCAAAAATGACAAACCCAAATACACATCCCTCCCCCCATTTTTCTCATCCCCCCTCAGCGAAGGTGCGGGCTTGATCTTTGGATTGTTGGAGAAAGCCTTCGCCTCCACGGCGCCGTTCTTTTCCAAGACCTGCCGACCAGCGCCCCAAATCTGAACGGCTAGCAACAACAAGGGGTGTGGCAAATTCGGGGGACCCCACAATGGTGGCTTTCATCTCCTTTTTACACCAACCAACCACGGGTCCCTCGAATAAAGGCACTCCTAAGAAGGCCCTGTGACCCGCCAATTTGAAAACTTCCAGGGTTGACAGGTATGAAAAGAATCATTGCACATTGGAGAAAACCCGCCCCTTGGTCTTGATCGATTTGCCTGCAAGTGAGGTTGCCATAACTCCAGAAGGAATGAGGGTAAGCTCATTGCAGCAGGTAGTCCGCAAAGCGCAACCCAGACTGCCAGACCGCATGCGAGTGCGAGAATTCGTTCCAAAACCCACACATGTCCCATATCCCACGTGGCATGCGCGGCCCATTGCAAGCAGAGTGACCAGACCTATTGATTTCTTGTTCAATTACGATGGCATACGCTCAAAGGGATGCAGATGGCAGGTAATTGCATAAGACAGTGCGTTTCACAGTGTTGCTCCCATCATTGATCATTGAAACACGTGCCCACTCCAGGTAGGAAAAAAAGGTTGTAGCTGATGGGGCTATCCCTGCGCAGCGCAGGATTTAGGATCGTCCTCTGAACACAAGAGGAATGTTCTACATGGCAGTCAGACTGAGATAGACATTGTCAGAGGCACAGCGAAAGTTTGCGAGGCAGTTGGCACTGCTGCTTGCTGACAGCGCAAAAGCCTGTTGGTCGATCCAAGCAAATGACGTACAGGAACAACCCTCACCAAGTTCAAAGCTAGAAGCTTCTGACTCCACGGCCGTTTGCTCATGGCCCCAAACTCTACTCGCATTTCAGCGCGCATGTGGTACATGCCTCCCTGCTTGAGTCTGGTTTGCAGAGATGGGAGAATTATCCCTCATCCTCGTTTGAGTCAAACGGATGCAGGAAAACAGGCAAACGCTTGGCCCCAAAAGTGAGGCACTGGGAATGTGTTGAGGCTCGGTTGATTTCACTTTACAGTAAACCTAACAAGGGCTCCATCAAAATACAACCCCGCAGACCCATCTCCACTGGCCTCCTGGACAGACTTGAAAGGCTTGATGTCGGGCCGGATGGCCAGGCAGGTGTCGTCCAGGCGGTTCACCTGACAACGGTACCTTCTTGAGCCTCAATGGGCATGTCAAATACGGGGATCCGGACATTGGCGGGCGTCCTGTTTTGCTTTTTATGTTTTGAGGGTACGGTTGTTGGGTTGGTGTAAAGGGAAACCAAAAGGAAAACCACCAGTTTGGGGGGGTGGGGGCCTCACTGTTTTAACACAAATTGAGACATGATTCTGCGAAAGACTATTGGTCATTGCGGGGCGCGTCAAAACCACGTTGAGTCAGAATAGGAAAAAACAAATCATCATTTAGCCCCTTACATTGCTGCGTCTCCAGAAAAATACCAACGTGTTGCCTGATCCAGCCTCGCAAAAGTGACGAAGAAGCCCCTCCGCTTGGCGCTCTTCTCAAGGGAATGGCAAATCAGCTCATAATCGCTACCTATGTGGCTGACAGTGTGGGGTCTTGCGATAATGGTTGGTAGTCCCATGTGCTTCGTATCATTCACCAAGCACATGTTGTTCGTGTATGTGTACATACGTATATTATATATACATATATTCCCATTCTGACAAACAATGCCCCCGCAAGAAACAGCCGCTCTCTTCGCGCGTCCATTGAGAGCTGTCTCCAATGCCTTCCCCCTAATGGCAGGCCCGAGGGATTATCACATAAGCCAACGCCACGTCGTTGAACCTCCTTGGCGCTGCCGTTTCTGCCTGGTCAAAGTCGTTGAGTCGCCGGTCGCGCTCCTCCTCGTAGTTCACTTTGGCCTTAGCAGTCGGGAACAACCTTTTGCGAGCCAAGTTCACCCGAACCCAGCCCTCTGAAAGGGGCGCTGTTTCTGTTGACGCTCC